CGTATTCTCCGGACATTGCTCCTTCTGATTACTGATTGTTCCGAAGGATGCAGCACGATTTGGCAAGTCACCGGTTCACTTCTTTCGCAGAAATCGAAATCGAAATTGGCTCCAAAATTGGATCGCCTCCAAAGACGAGTCATTTTTTCGAGATGGAATTCGAAAATTGCCTGAGAGATGGGAAAAAGTAATAGCCAGGTCGAAGAAAACTGTCAGCATCACCTTGATTTTCGACTTGTTTTGGCGCGATTTTTTTGGTTTCGGCTCACCTTTGACACGGTATTCGGCTGATTGGTCGGCAGTTTCCGGATCGTATGCGTAAATCCAACTCTCATCTCCAGTTATGATGTTTTTCATTCGGTTTTGATAGTCGGAAAGCATCGTTTCAGACACATCAACGCGTCGTTGTTTTTCCAAAAAATTGAGCGATTTTGGCACCAATCGCGCTTTCACTTTTCGGAGGCCCAAATGGTCGCTCAAAATGGTTTTGACTGATCCTTCCGATATGCCAACAAGATCAGTAAGGTCTCGGACAGTCAATCGACGATTTTCGAGCACCAAATCTCGGATTTTTTGGACGTGAATCACATCAGTTGATGTGGATGGCCGTCCGGCACGTGGCTCGTCTTGAATGCTCTCTCGGCCCTCTTTAAACATTCTGTGCCATGCAAAAACTCTTGCTTGTGACAAAGCGCCATCACCGTACGCCTTCTGACACATTCTCAACGTTTCGGCTGCAGACATTCCATTCCGGACACAAAATTTTATCGCACTTCGTTGTTCCATAATTTCAGACATTTCAAAAAACGACAAATCACTTTTTACGTGCTTACAAACAGACGCTTATCTCAAACACTAATGACTATTTTGACGTGTACCTTGGCGCAGCTGTCACTGACAGAATTGCCAACTTCAAAATAAATTCGGTTGTCCCTATCGGAAACCCCGGGAAATTTAAATTTGAAATTATCGATACTTTTTGCCCACAGTAGTACTCCCAATACTCCGGGCGGGTGATACCTTCACCACGGAGTCCCTGGACCCCCAGCTGCTCAACGGAATTGTGGCAGGTCTTTTTCTCACAGAAAGTGGGGAGGACATTTCTCCGTACGTTGCCCCCACATTCGAGTGGGGAGAGGAGTTGGAAGTCGAATTGGCCGCAGCCTTCCGTAGGGGTCCCGCGAGAGTACCGGGCCTGAATGGGATACCAGATAGAACCTGGGCCTTGGCTATTGACGCGATGTGAAAGCACTCAGGGCACTTTTTTAGTGAGTGCTTCAGGCGTGGATGGTTTTCTCGATCATGAAAGGGTGCCAGGCTTGTCCTCTTGAGGAAGGAAGGCAGGCCTGTGGATTCTCTGGCAGGCTATCGTTTCATTTGCTGGACGAGGCGAGAAAACTCTTTGAGATAGTAGTCGTGGTCCGAATCGTCTGGCACTTCTCCCGAGAGAGTTCAATTAACATTTCAGACAGTCAATATGGAGCGCGAGGGTCGCTCCATGGTAGATGCGATCCACCGGGCGCGAGCCTTTGCGGAGGCTAACACGAAGGAGGGGAGAGTGATGGTGGCGGTAACTCTAGACATTATCTTCAACATCCTCCCCTGATGTCGGGTGAGAGAGGTGATGAATCATTTTCCGATGCCCTCTTACTTAACCGTCATAGTAAAAACGACTACTTCCGGGAGAGGAAACTAATTTATATTAATAGAGACGATGGCGAGTGTATGGTCTTAGGTCCCTGCTCTGGAGTGTACGACTCGTGTACGACGAATGTACGGACTCGTTCTTTGCACTGCCCTCCCGCTGGGAGCCGAAATAGTGTGTTACGCAGATGACACTGGTGTTCGCGGCGGGGAATGACTGGGGAAGGGCGTGGCTAATGCGTGCCGCGCCATCGGTCGTGTCGTGAGCTTTATAACGGTTCTATGACTGGAGGTATCTCCCCGAACAACTGAGTGCATATTTTTTCATAACGGGAGGAGCAGGAGCACCTCTCTCCTGGGTTCTGGTTGGGACCGTCCGCGTCAGGATGACCCCCACGATCAGATATCTGGGGCTCATCCTCGATATGAGTTTGGCGAGCATTTTGCTGCGCTGGTCCCCAGGATGAACAGAATGTCGGATGCGTTCGCCCGCTTGATGTCCAACTTGAGTGATCCGAGTGCCTCCGTACGCAAAATGTATGATGTCCTGCATTCTATACGGCGCTCTAGTGTGAGCGAGCGATGCGGATGACAATGCGTGTATAAAATGCGTTCTTTATGTTCAGAGGAAACTTATCCTCCGCTTGGTTCGCGCGTACAGGACGGTTTTACGCGGCAGCCACGACCCTTGCGGGAGCAAGTGCTGCCCGCTGACTTGGCGGCCAGTGCGCAGGCGGGTGGTTACTTTCGCGTCCGGGCGATTAGGGAGCGAAAAGTCGTCCCGGCACCGGGACGCCATTAAACAACAGGAGAGGCACCATGCGTATGGCCGATGGGTGCTCCAATTAGCGAACTCCAGAGGATATGACACCAAGACTACAGAGATCCTCGCGCTCTGCCTACAAGAGTGGACCGACAAGGGGTGGGGCGGATTGTCCTATAGGATAACGCAGGTGTTTACCGTATGGATATTTCGATGAGTGTCTGTATCATATAGAGAAGAAGCCCACAGCACAGTGTCACCACTGTGCGGCCAACCGGGATTTGGCACAATACACCCTCTAGGTATCCCCGATGGAACAACGAGCGCCGAGAACTGGTCGCAGTAGTTGGCGAGGATCTCTCGCTCCCGGACGTAGTGCGGGCCATGTTGTGGGACGCGTGAGGTCAGTACCGAAGCATGCACATGAATGTTGTATATATAACTTCCGTAAACATTAACAAAAGTAACATCAATGTTATAATTTCCCACTCAATATCAATATATTATTAGGTGTACAAATAAGTTTCCGCCGTTTTTAATTAAAAATTAAGCATTTATTGTGAAAGAACGATACATAATGTTTTATTGAGAGTATTGTCCATCGCTAGTCACTACTTTTTCCCATCTTTCTGGTAGCATACGGATAACCCGTTGGAAGAACGCTTCATCTTTTGAGGCTATCCAATTATCGATCCAATTTTTGATATCTTCATATGATGTGAAGTGCTGCTCAGACAGGTCATGCGCCAACGATCGAAATAGATGGTAATCGGCAATGTCTGGTGAATACGGCGAGTGGGGTAGAACTTCCCAATTGAATGTTTCTATGTAGGTTTTGACCGGCGCCGCAACATGTGGTCGAGCATTATCATGCAGGAGAATAATTTTGTCATGCCTGGAGTAGTAGTGGGCGCGTTTTTCCTTGAGTGCTCGGCTCAATCTCATCAATTGTGTTCGGTAGAGAACCCCAGTAACGGTTTCGTTCGGTTTGAGCAACTCATAATACACGA